TTGGCTCTTGATCATATGCTACCTCTTGAAATGGTTGAACATTAACCATTTCCTTTTGGTACAGTGACTCTGTATATTCCTTCCATCTTCTCTTGATGCTTTCTGCATCATTCAGTAATTTGTCCAGTGAATCTTTCAATAACGGAAGTCGAGGCTTGAATTTGTTCTTCAGTTCCTCCAGCTTGAAAACATTCTTAAAAAAAAAAAAACAGAAGCATCCCTTCCAAGGGGCTGTATTTAGTGGTTCTTTAAAGAATTCATAGACGGAGAAAGTATTTTTGCTTAAGGATGTCATACAACCAAATTATTTAAAAGGGGTTGAGAACAGGTATTAATAAAATTAGTAGTAAAACATGCATTTGAATGCTCATAGCAACACTATTCACAATAGCTAAATGGTGGAAAAACCCAAATGTCCATAAGCAGATGAACACCAAGGGAATACTGTGCAGCTATGCAAAGGAATTCAGTATTGCTATACACTACAACATGGATACACCTTAAAAACACTATGATAAGTGAAAGGAGCCTATCACAGAAGACACATATATGTTATATGATCCCACTTATGTGAAATGTCAAGAGTTGGCCAATCTGTAGCTGGAAAGTAGATCAGTGGCTGACTAGGGTTTGAACGATATTAGGGGAAACGGAGAGTGACTGCTAATGGCAAGGGGCTTCTTTTCAGGGTGATACAAATGGTCTAAAATTGAGACTCTGGCGGCAGTTGCACAACTCTGAATATACTGAATACCACTGAGTTGCCTACTTCCAAGTCAATGAAATTTATGGTACATGAATTATATAGTAATAAAGTGTTCTAGAAAAAAGAAGAGATATGAGGCCATCTAAAGGAATCCTTTAAAAGAAAATAGAGTTGAATTTCATGCAGACTGCTAGAAGTATCACTCAAATTTTGGGGATTGTTGTTGTTGTTAAGTGGCATCCAGTCAGTTCTGATTCACAGTGACTCTGTATTTGAACTGCAGACCTTGCAGTTAGCAGTACTTTAATTTCTCCCACCTACCAAGCTACTCCTAGCTCAAATTTGAAATACTATATACTTTTAAAGAGTTTTTTTAAAATGAGGAAATGTATTCCAAAATGACCTTTGAACTAAACCTTGAAACACTAGGCTGCCATAGACTAGAGCTTGTAAGCACAAGCTTTTCTAGTTCATGAAGACTTATTTTTAGCACTGGACTGCTAACCACAAGATTGGCAGTTTAAACCCACCAGCCATTATTCGGTGGGAAAAAGATGAGGTTTTCTTCTCCTGTAAAGATTTACAGCCTTGGAAATCCTACACAGGTCATTATGAGTTGGAACCGACTCAATGGCACCTAAAAACAACACTCTTGAGTGTCTCTTAACAATATTTCAAGGCATATATATATACATTAACCTGACATTATCTGATCTCAATTTCTCTGCCAGACACCTTCAATGATAGTTCACCACACACACATTAAATTCAAGTGAACCTGTTTAGTTTCATAAACCTGTTGCCATGGAGTAGATTCTGGGACAAGGAAGAACTATCCCAAAGCGTTTTCAAAGCTGTAATCTTTATGGAAGCCAACAGCCTCATCTTTCTTCCACAGAGCAGCTGGTGGGTGTGAACAGTTGACATTTCAGTTAACAACGAAGCACTTAGCCACTGTGCCATCTGGGCTCATTTTAGTTTAGTTGTTGCTAAATGCCAACAAGCTGGTTCTGACTCATAGTGACCCTGTATAGGGCTTCTGAGACTGTAAATCTTTGCAGGAGCAGTAAGCCTAATCTTTCTCCTTCAGAGCAACTGGTGGGCTCGAACCTGCCAAGTTTGTGGATCAGAGTCCAATGCGTGGAGTCCTGGTGTGGTGTTGTAGGATAAAGAACTGGATCACAAGGTTGGTTTGAACCACAGGTTGACGGTTCAAACTCACCAGCTATTCCTTGGAAACCCTACACAGGGTCACTATGAGTTGGAATGGATTTGATATCTCTAAACAACAACAATAACAGTCCAGTGCTTATTGTACAGAGCCACTGTGCTCCCCTTTAAGTTCAATTAAATATCTAAATCTTTTTCAAAAAAAATCCCAAAGTAGGAAACTAGTTGTGACATGTTTTAATAGCGGTAAAATGGGTTCAAAATAATCTACCAACAAGTCTTCTATAGCCTTCAAAGGTAAGTTTAAATCTACCATCAATGTGTTAGCTTAAATATAAATGAAAAGATCAACTGTCTATAATGGAACCAGAAAAACAAGACCAAAAGAAAATCTGTGGTCCTTTAAAAAATATTATGTGGCAATAGTTTTTGAATCAATATGTAAAATATGCTTCACGTTTAACATAATTTTTAAATAATTTAAATTCCTTAAAAATATAGTCTAATACAGGTCTACCCATAATTTTTAAATGTAGATGTGAACTAATTCAAATCCTTCATTTTCCTAAGTTTTCACTATTCATTTTTATGTATACAGATGAGTAAGAATTACAGATCCTTTCAGATTGTGTAGTATTTCCCTTGAGAAACTTGGGGCTAACTATCTAGCTAACTTTTCATTAGAATTCATCTTTTTAAATATAAAAATTACAAATATGAATGAAAGTTTCTAAGTGGTTAAAGTCTTAGTACTTACTAAAGGCTACAATGAATAATTAGGCCACCAAGTTGATGTGAAAACAAGAGCACTCTCACTCTCTTGCCACTGACTTCCAGTAACACCAGTTTCTCTTTGCTAGCTGCAGAAGGTTCAGGACAAGATGGTGTCGACAGAAAGTCCACAACATGTCTAATGTTAGAATATTATCCAATGGGTCTAAATTTCTAATGTTGTTTCTAATTCCAAAGAAAAACAGAAAACAATCAAAAGAGCTTCAGCAGATTTCATTCAGTGAACCAAGAAGTAACAGAGTAAGAGAATCTTCAAAAAAGTTACCCTGCGCATATTAATTTCAAAAGAGATGTTTATTGCCAGCCTTATATTTTAGCCTAAGCATAAAATAAAATTCAACAAAAATGCAAAATAAGACAACTATGAGTGCATTTCTGGTGCCAATTTGTTTTAAATTAAACATATTCAATTATAAAACTAGTTCTTAATAATTGTATGACACAGTGATTAAGCACTGGGCTACTAACTGATAAGCTGGTGGCTCAAACCCAACCATCAGCCCTGCAGGAGAAGACCTGGTGATGTACGTTCCTAACGATGGTGGTGGTGGTGATGTGCTGTGGAGTCAGTTCCAACTCACAGCGACCCTACGTAGGGTTTCCGAGCCTGTAAATCTTCACAGGAGCAGAAGGCTTCCTCTTTTTCTCATGGAACAGCTGGTAGTTTCAAATTGCTGACCTTGAGGTTACCACTACACTACATAAAATCTTATGGGGCAGTTTTACTTCATCACATACTAGAAGTAAAATTTAACTAGACAGCATCTAACAATGTATACATCAAGCTCCTTTCTGAACTGAAAATATCTCATCAACATGTCTTAATGTAAAGGAATACACAATTCAAATAGAAGAATAAGTCAAAATATATTGCTGTTAGGGTTCCAGTTCAGACATGCGCAGGTTTATTTCAAACTAAATGTGTTTAAGCATGTCTGGGATTAGTGCATGGCTGCAGACAAGGTCTCTCAGTAATATACTTGTCTTAGTGTCTTTGTTGTTGTTGTTGTTGTTATGTGCCGTGGAGTCAGTTCCGCTCATAGCAACCCTGTGTAGGGTTTCCAAGGAGCAGCTGGTGAGCTTGAACCGTCAATCTTGAGGTTCAAACCGACTTTACAGTCCAGCACATTAACTCACAGTGCCAAGTCTCTTTAAGGAGCCTTGAAAAAAAAAAAAAAAAAAGTCCAATCGAAATAGTGATTTCTCAGGGAATCTGCTGGACCAATTAAATTCAAGGCATAAAGATCAACTCAAAATTATGGTAACTGTGTTATTGTATCCCAAAGGGGTGATCTTGATGGATTTTCTCAAAGGACACAGGACAATCATGGTGGTTTATTAGTGTGCTGAATGAAATTAATCACACAAAGACATGTATTGTATGAGACCACTATTATAAATCCTGGTGTGGCGCTGTGGATTAATGCGCCAGACTGCAAAACCGTTTGAACTGTAAGGTTGGTGGTTCAAGCTCACCAGCTGCTCCTCAGAAACCCTGTACAGGGTTGCTATGGGTCGGAACCGACTCCATGGCACTTAACTATTGTAGAAAGTCAACAATTCTTATGCTAAAGGAAACATTCTTTGATGGTTCTCAGAGGTTGGGGGAGGGGAAATTAATTCACTGACTAGAGGGTTGTTGTTGTTGTTAAGTGCCATTGAATCTGTTCCAACCCATAGTGATCTTGTATAGGGTTTCCAAGGAGCAGCTGGTGAGCTTGAACCATAGACCTTGCAGTTCAAATGGCTTTGCAGTCTAGCACATTAACCCACAGCGCCACAACAGGACTCCATAGAGGGTAGTCACATGTTAACTTGAGTGAGAGGGAAGGCAGTATACATGAGGGAGGTTGGTGAAAGAATGGTGAAGACACTGGGAGGTATGGAAGCGTTAAAGGGAATAGAGGTAAATACTGCTGTATACACAACCCTGCAACAACAGTGTTATATGTGCAGACACATGGACAGATACAGGCCTGGGCGGGAGAGTAGGAGTATAGTCCACTCATAAATAAAGGTTTGACAGAAGATAGTTGTACATGGATATTTATCTTCTCTACAAACACATCTACCAATGTGGTGGAGCATACAGGGGCAAAATTATGAAAACTTCTTAGATATTACCCAATGCTTTGAGGCAATAAGATGCTGGACCTGGAGGTTCAGTACCATAGTCTCAGGGAACACCATGGTCAATTGGCGTAAGTTTCCATAGACAATTGGATCTTAAGAGCTAATGAGAGGCCACTTAATATGCAACTATTGGCCTCTCCCTGTCCAGAGAAAAGAAGAGTGATGAAAACTGAAGTCCCTTGGAATCAACTAGTCCAATGGACTGATGGAACCTGTGAATATCAGCTCCATAACCCTGAGATCAGAACTACCCACAAACATGGTATATTCTTCCATTTATGTAGGTTTCCTATAGTAGTGTTTTCTATGAATGGGGCTTATTTCTCTGGTTACAGTTATTCCAAAGTATTTCATTTTTATTGCTACAATACTTTTTGACATACCCTCATATGTTACAGAAAACAAAAAACAATGACAAGTAGTATTTCATCAGAAATGAGTATTCTCTTTCCTCTAATTTTTACTATTCATAACAGAAGGTTAAAGACCACACCATTTTTGACAGTTTATAAAAGCATGTCATTGTTCTATTCCCCAACTCAACCACCATCATCAAAGATTGAAATCAATTATTTTTCTATGTGTAAATAAAATATTCTTAAAAATATTCATGACTATTTTTCCTCACTGAAAGGACTCTCAATTTATGATACTGCTTGGATAATCCAATGCAGGTAAGTCAGCTTTAATAAACATTGTGCATTAGTGAGACGCCTGTGATGAATTATACAACTTCACTATCAAAAGCACTTGGAAGGATTTCATTAGAGATAACTTTAAAAATGGTTAAGAGAATTATCTAACTACTGAACTGTCAAGAAAAACTAATAACAATTATTTCCACTACATACTGGCTGTATGAATTATCAGTGAAATTCAAGACTTTTTCCTTTACTGATCAATAAGCATAGTTTAAAATATAAAACAGACCAAATACTAATAATTATGCCACGTTTTGCCATAGCTTTTCTGTTTAATGTTTTATTGTGAATTATGTGATAGTTTACATGGGAGAACATTAGTTTTACATTCATCCTATCATGTATTGTTTCATTGCCATGGTTACAATCCCCTATATGCATCACCAATCAAGGAAAGGGTACATCTTACAAGCCTGCTCCTCCCACCCTCCCCGACCCCCATTTGTCAGCACACAGGCCCTCTCCCTCCCTGGGTCCAGAGTCCCCAGCTGTTCCATCTCTCCACATCATCATCTCTGCCTCCATCTCAGGTATCGCTGCTTCTCTGGGTAGGGTCCTGTTCTCCACTCTTCTCCCTTCATGGTTCCAGGGACCTCGGCTCCAAGACTGAAAAGTTAATCACTCCCCTTCTTGCCACAAAATGTCTACTTTTACATTTACAACCTTCACAATCAGTCCTGGTAACAATTATTCACCCTTGTACCACAAGAGACCTACCCACATTTCCTTTCATCAGTCCCACCTAAACAGATTGGATATTACTCAGTGGAGATTCTACCTTCCTCCATGCCCTCTGGATCTAGGTTCTGTTTTAAAAACTTGTAAGCCAGTCACTTCTTGCCTCTGTAGCCCCCCCATTTTGGATAGCCAATGTCCAAGTTGCCCATTCCTGTCCACTCTGTGTATGGAGGCGGTGGGAATGATCCTTGCTGTGAAGATCTGTTCCCTCTTTTGAATTGCTGCATCCATGGGTGTAGGTCAAGGTCATCAAATTGTGTCAGATTACTCTTTTTTGTCCTCCTCTTTCTTCTTCTAGTTGCACTCTAATCATCCAGTCATTGAAGCCAGGTCAAGTAGGTATTATCTGCAAGTGCGGGTGCTCTTATGTGCCATATGGTTTCTTGACTGCTGTTTCCATGAGCATTGATTAGGGATCCAAGTAAAATAAAATCCTAGACTAATATTCGCTCAACTTATCTAGATGTTCACTTATGGTCCAATTATGAGAATTTTATTTTAAGTTGAGGTGTAATTCATATGGAAGGCTGCCGTCTGATCTTCAGTAAGTTCTTCAACTTTGATTTCAGCAAGTAAGGTTGTGTCATCTGCATGTTGTAGGCTGTTAATGAGTCTTCCTTCAATCCCGATACTGTGTTCTTCATATAGTCCAGCTTCTAAGATTTGCTCAGCATATAGGTTGAATAAATATGGCAAAAGTATACAGTCCTGACATACTTTTCCTGATTTTACACCACACACTATTTCCTAATTCCATCTGGTCTACGTACAGTTTCCCTGTATGTAACTACATTTAAATGTACACAACTGCATCTGAGAGAAGCTCCATGCACACAGTTTTATTCAGTTAACTTATTTTATTAATATCTGTATAATCTCTGTTGGGAAGTCAAATTTTATCAACACATCCATAATTTTAGACTACTGGGTCCTCATCTGGTCACTGTGGTATTAATTTACTTTATAGAAAATTATCTAGAGACTGAAAAGTCCAATTTAATTATAACAAACTCCCTTAAGTGGTAGAGGTGAGAAGGTATCAAGAGTAATGCAAGTCAAAAAACAAAAGGTAGGCAGAAATATGAGGTAATGATGAAAGGAACTATTTAAAAATGGGGCTGCCAATGTATCAAGGGGAAATAAAGAGTTTAAAGACACTCTATCTACTTGATAAATTTGTGGGACCCCCCAATAATCCTAGTAATTTAATTGTGGTAAGGAAAATACATATGAATCAATTTTTTTTCATTTCTGAAATAGGAACATTGGAATCACTGCTCAGACTACTAGCTCCATCCTCTAAAAGTTACAGATGAAAGACAGTTATAGGTAAGCAAATGAAAATATAAGGAGGATAAAAATACTCTTCATATACCTCTTTATTCTCACCTTTGATTTCTGTTCAATGGTGGCTCTTCTTCATGCTGTTTCATTTGGGTGGGTAATTTAGGGGTCGAGGTAACTAAGGAAAAGTTTGGACCAACTACTTCTATCTCCTCTTTTCACAAATGGTACACAATCAGAAAGCTTTAAGAGATTTACTGTTAATTGATCATAAACCATAAAAATAAGCCTGTCTAAGTCTATTTTTAAAGGAGTCCTGGTGTGGCACTGCGGGTTAATGCACTGGACTGCAAAGTTGATTTGAAGTACAATGTCAGTGGTTCAAGCTCACCTAGTGCTCCTCGGAAACCCTAAACAGGGTCACTATGAGTTGGAACCGGCTCAACAGCACTTAATTTTTAAAGAAAATTGGCCAAATTAATAGTTCTGTTATTATGAGCCATTCCCACAGATTAGGATGAAAAGACCTTACTGTCATTTGTCACATGTTTTAAATATCTGGAAAAACCATGGAGATTAATGATTGCAGCGGACGTTCTGCCTGGAAAGACTCTGAGAAAACACTTTGTGAGTCTGGATCTCTAAGCTACTGAGCAGGGGAAGAGGATGGCTAACAACAGGCATCTATGAGTTTCCTGAAACTATGAGTTTCCTGAAACATAAAGTATTCTGCTGCCTCAAAATTGCTCTCCAATTCTTGCTTCTTCTCAGAGATCGTCATTGTTAAGGAGAAGCCAAATAGAACTGTACCAATTTCTACTTTTTTCCTACCAAACGGGCACAGCCAAGATTAAGGTGATGTAATGGAAAACCTGTATGCTCCTATGAAGTCTCCCTTCTGTAGTTCTTGTATTCTACTGTGAGCCTAGGACAACATGATTTTCTTAATGGGAGAATTCTGATGAAGTGAAAAAAAAAAAAAAAAATCTGTTTGCAAGAAATGTGAAAGGGGATAATAACACATAAAGTTTTCTCCTTTCTACAGATTTTAAAGTTAAGTTCTGTAGTTTGTAATAATATTTGGTTATATTCTGCTATTGAAGACAACAGTACTTTGAAAATTACATCTTGTTTTTTAAGTGGCTTGGTGTTCTGATGTGGCTTCCTGGACTGTGTATCTCACTTCCCTAGTACAGTACGTGTCTCTAAAAGAACCAAAGAACTTCTAGAGCATCTGAGTGGTTATTTCCAAAGACAGACAGTTCCAATCTGTAACTTGTAAATCACACTTTATAAAGAGCACTTTCACAACAAGGAATGCAGGCTTCTCTCTTATGTCTCACAAAAACAAATCTTGAAAATACTCATCAAATTCTTCTTCCCTAGTAAAGAAAAAAGTCAGCATATTATTCAAACTCAATAAATAAAAAAAATTACTATGTGACACATATGAGATTAATAATAATAAATACTTTAATATATTGGCTGATTCCTTCATATAACAATATATTTCCATACTTCAGTCTTAAGTTTCTAATCAGAACTATGTTGTTGTCAGGTGCCACACTATACCCACACTAATTAAAATTAAAATATTTTATATGGTAACACATCTCCCTAGATTTATTTTGAAGCATTTTGTGACATGTCATTACTTCTAATACTTTAGTTCATATTATACATTCTTTGTTCATTCTCATTTCAAACTATAACCTGACCAAGATATGGAGGGAAAAGAAACTATTTTTATAGGAAAATACAAGTCTTACTCCTAGGAAAAGTATTACCTAATAAGAAAGAGCAAAGTCTGTAGATGCAGTTTTCCATCACTCTGAGATTAGCTGTATGATGCATTTACAGCAGTAAAAATTCTACCTAAAACAAGGACTAGAACTCTGAAAGGAGATGTTGTTAGATTATAATGTATCAAAATAGTATGAAAATTATAATGTACTAAATGAATGTTAAGGAGCCTGGGTATTGCAATGGTTAAGAACTCAGCTTCTAACTGAAAGGTTGTATGGTAACTTTTTTGTTCTATAATCAAGTTCTCTGGGCTCAGTTTCCTTTTCTGTAAATTAAATTTCCTCATAGAGCTGTTGTGTGAATTGAACAGATGCACAATTCCTTTTCCTTCTAGGAACAGGGTCAAGCTAGACTGTCAAGTCTAGGTAGCTGACCGGTCTTTTTAGAAAATGTTCTTTTCGGTCAGATGTTCACAATGAGACTCCATCTTTTGGTTTCAAATAATTGTGAATGCATAAAGTCACCACAACCACGTTCAAACGTAAAGAAAAAAATTACAGAATTAAAGTTGATTTTTAAGAATTACCTGCAATTTGGTATCCCCTGTGTTGCTGTTCCTTTTCATTATCATGACAGCAAAGTATAGTAGAAATTTAAAAATTGTAGTAAGAACTTAAGTATGTGAAATTAGCTGAATCTCTTTGTGAATTTAGATGTTTATTTCTTGGAACAATGGCAAGTTGTTATAGTCTCTCGAATTTTGGGTTATGAAAATCTTAGGATTCACTCATATGTCTTTATTGCCTAAAAAAGCATGTTGATTTTTAAAAGCTATCCTGTCATTTTCAGCTACAACTTCCTACAAGAAGAAGTTTAATTGTTGGGAGCTAAGTTAATTTAAACTATTACAGTAATTTTTTACTGACGTCAACAGCTATTTTATACTTTGGTCTCTAATGACCACACACTTGAAAATTCTTTATTTAGCTGAACAAAAAGGTTAACGTCACAGAAAAACTTTACTTCAGAAGCACAGAAAAACTCTTCTTATTGAAAACCTTCTCCCCACACACCTGAATTCTATTATACTGTGAGCTTAACAAGCAGTTAACAAGATGTTTTATAATCAGCTTAAATTAATGAATGATGACTGATTCACCAGGTCTCTATTCTGAACTAAGATGACCAGGGACTAATATTTATTGAACACTTTCTATAGGACAGCTATTGTACCAGGTGCTTTATTTCATTTAATCTTTAATAAACTCTATGTGGCAGCTATTATTTTACCCTCTTTTAGTAAAGTTTAAATGGTGAATGTCCCAGTGTACGACAAGAGCAGATGATATTCCAGCTCATACCCAGACAACATTTCCTTGTCCAACTACATAGCAGAGAATAAAGTGGAGGATAAAGTGGATGTTGGCAAATAAACTTCCACACTTGTATAAATCTTCAAGGGGGTTCGTTCCCCTGTAGGGTTTCTGATAATCAAACTATTCTGGAGTAGGCTGCTTTGGAGGCTAGTAAACAGCTCTTCTCTGATGGAATCTGATCAAGGACCAGAGGGTTATCTGTTAAGGCCAGCTGATGAAAGGCTTATTAACCAAGAAGAAGCTGGAAAAGTTGAATGTTTATGGCCACAAACAATGACTGGGAATAAGCTCTAATCTTGCTAGGCCAGGTAGCCTAGACACTCACGATCCTAAAGTTTTTCATTAACTGCTACCAGGAATGGCTGTGGTCATAGCTTTTAAACTGATTTTCAGGCTAAGCATTATCCATTCATATCAGGACTTACTGTGATTTTTCATCTGTCTCTGGAAGTGGGCCCTTCCAAAGTTCACATTCGGAAGCACTGTCTTCTTCATCAGAGTTTCCTAATCATTTTAAAGAAATTTTAAAAAATGTATTATACTTAAGACACATTTTTAACTACCCACCTTTGTAATTACATTAACTTTGAAAATAAACGCAGTTTAACTTCAACTTTCATGACTCTCAAAATTTAATGCATTCTCTGAGATGCAATGAATTAGCTTTAAAACTAAAAATATAAATAAGCTAAAAGATACAAAAGAGCAGTAAGACCAGAGATTTCAAATCTCATGGGGAAGCTGCAATTCTAATACAGTTCTTTTAAGAGAATTTTCTCCTGCAATAATCTTTTTGATTTAGTACTCCTCTTTTTTTAATCACACAAAAAGCATGCGAGTAAAGATTTTTATAGGAAATATATTGACATTAGGATGAAGTCCTGAAGAACCGAATCAGTATGCTATTGTTGTTAGATGCTAGAAAGTCAGCTTTGACTCGCATGAAGATCTACTAAGCCACTAAAAAGTCTGTCAAATATATATTTTAATTAATTCAAGTTACATTAATTAGAAGAAGCCTGTTTCAGTGAGGAAATAAGCATTCTCATACACTTTGGGTGTAAACCTGTTTCATGAGAAAAAAAAAACACCAAAAAACCTGACACATCAGTTAAAATGCAAAAACCTTTGACCCAGTAACAGTACTTTTTAGGAATTTGGTTATTTACTCAGAATAAATAAGTATTTCTGATACATGTGCAAAGATGCTGGTTACATAACAACAACAGTAACACTATATCTTCAGCTTTTAGGGATTAGGGTTTGGTTGAATAGAGAGCACAGCTGTTAGAAAAATGAGCATGTCTACATACACAATGCCACAATGCCGTGGTAAAGTATCCATGATGTAGCACATTTTAAAAAGTTACAGAAAGTATCCATGGTAGAGTCCAAATTATGTTGGAAATGTGCATCTATATATGTATGAGGGGACTTTAAAAGGTTCATGGAAAAATTCTATTATCTTTTATTTCCATTTTTCTACAAAAAATCTTAAGTCTGTTCGTATATACACATGTTTAAATATAACTTGGGATATGGGTTTACACATATTCAGCTGCTCCGCAGAAACCCTATACAGGGTCACTATATATAGCACTTAACAACAGCAACACACACAATTAATTTATATGTTTTATAAGTCTGTAAGGGCCAAACATAGTTAACAGCGATTATGGTGTGGCATTGTAGGATAATGTGCTGAACTGCAAGGTCTGTATGAGCCATAGGACTGGTGGTTGAAATTCACCAGCCATTCCTAGGAAACCCTATACAGAGTTTCTATAGGTCGGAACCAACTCGACAGCACATGACAACAACACATATGATCTGCGGAACTGGAACACATTCGTTTTCTATCTTAAATATTTCCAAATTGTTGTATTTTAAGCAATGAGCAAGAACTACCTTTAAAATCAGTAGGACACTTCAGTAGATAAGCAAAAACATGAGATACTGGCATCTGGAAGATATGGTAGGGCACTGCAGAATAAGCACTGGACTGCCAACCACAAGTTTGCAATTCAAACCCACCAGGTATTCCCTGGAAGCCCTATACAGGGTCTCTGTGAGTTGGAACTGACTTGATGGCACTGAACAACAATAACCAAAATACAGGAAAACAGACAAGCTTCACATGGAACAGCTTCAAGTAGTCAACCAAAAATGACAAAATAGTGAAAAATGTATTGTGAGATAATAAAATCATTTTCCACAAAGTAATTACATTAGTAAATAATTTTTCTTCAATAATGCCTGTTAGGCTAACAGGAAACAGACAGAAATTTGGACTAATGATACAGGATGTACCTTCATTAAACAAAACTCAAAAATAAAACATCACTGATTTGCCACAGTGATTGTAGCCTTTCATCTGTTGGACTTTAATCCTTGAATCAACATGAGTGTCTGAACTTTGGTCCTAACTGAATCTATTCTGGCACAAACTATGGCCAAAAAGAAATAAATAAATAAAAATAAGGAGGGGGTTACATTTCTAATGATTTACATATGGTGATGATAAATTATAACGTCTTGGGAACAGGAGTCCCAATCAGTAATAGCCAGAAATAAAACTGCCCATTTCCCAAATTGAATATGTGAATACAAAGAATAAAAAGTCCCCTAGGGTCTCCATGAGGAATCCTGGTATGGTGCTATGGGCTAATGCGTCAGACTGCAAAGTCATCTGAACTGCAAGGTCGGTGGTTCAAGCTCACCAGCTGCTCCTTGGAAGCCCTATACAGGGTCGCTATGGGTCGGAATAGACTCAATGGCACTTAACAACAAGGGTCTCCATGAAGGAGCTCTGGTAGCATACTGGTTACGAATCGGGGTACGAACAGCAAGGTCAGCAGTTCGAAACTACCAGCTGTTCCGCGGGAGAAAGATGATGCTTCCTGTTCCCGTAAAGATTTACAGCCTCGGAAATCCTGTACAGGGTGGTGTGAGTCGGAACTGACTCCACAGCACACAGCCACTACCACCACCTTAACAATTAATCACCAACAGCCATTTGCCAGTATTTTCCTTTTAATATACAAACCATTCTTTTCATTTAAGCCACAAGAATCACTCAGTGACAGAAATCACTTAGACTGGTACAATATAAGCAACATTCCTAAAATCGTATTCCCTCCAATTCCTCCTCCATTCCAATCTCATCCTCCTCTTCCGTAATAGCTCATAATATAAAACTGAAATGCATTTCCATTGTACTTACTGAAAACATTTTTCTGTTCTTTATGCTTAAAAAAAGACCTCTAGGAGTGTAGTGGTTACTATTCAGGCAGCTAATCTTAAGGTCAGCAGTGCAAAACTATCAGCAGTTCCGAAGGAGAACCATGAGGTTTTCTACTCCATAAAGATTTACAGCCTCAGAAACCCTATGCGCGATTGCTATGAGTCGGAACTGACTTCGTGGCACAAACCACCAACCACCATGCTTAAAATAAGAAACTTTAAATAAAAGTTTGTAATTAGGGAATAAATCATGCACTTTTAGTCTTTTTTTAATGATTTTTCTTACCTTATACCAAAACAAATGTAAGTGTGCATCAGAGTAGGATATTTATTCATAGAAAACCTAATTCCAAATAACTTGAACTTATACATTTTTTTAATTAAATTAAAATGCAATACTTACTATTTATAGAGTCTGCTGACTTCTTGGAGGATGAATGTCCTAGAAAGGAAACAGTACTATTTAGAATCATCTTGCTGTTAAACAACCATTGTTGCTATAGTTTTTCTCCAACATTGTTTGCCTATAATTTTATAACACAAGTACTAATTTTCTCATCTATCTTAAGAGTCCTGGTGTGGTGCTGCTATAGGATAAGTGCTCGACCACAAGATCAATTTGAACTGCAATGTTGGCAGTTCAAACTCACCAGTCGCTCCTCAGAAACCCTATACAGGATCGCTATGAGATGGAACTGACTCAACGGCACTTAGCAACATTATATATCTAGGAGTCTTGGTGTGGTGTTAAAGGATAAGCACTGGACTGCGAACCACATGGTCAGTAGTTCCTACCCCCCAGCCACTCTTAGAAACCCTATACAGGGTCACAATGAGATGAAACTGACTCGACGGCACTTAACAACAACAACATCATGTTTCTAAGTCTTGTTGCCCTTCCAATTACAAACTTAGGTTCTTTTAGGCAGGAATCATTATCTTACACTCTCTTGTGTGGCGTGGAATATCTAGTACATAGCTTAAGAAATACTAAGTTCCTGTAAAAATTCACCTGTTGCTAAAAAGAACCTCACAGATTAGGGACAATAGGATAGTAAGTAAAAAAGATTCCTACAAAATCATAGAAATCTTCATTAAACAAAAACACCAAAATATAAAGCTGTTTCTTGACATATCTATAGACATGTATAGACCATGTAAGTCTCTACACTTCTGAAGGCAGTGTTTCCATCTCTCTAACCTTGTGTGGATGACAGACTATGGATAACATTACAAAGAATGGATATTCCTTAATACTTCATTGTGCTCATGAGGCGTCAGTACATAGACCAAGAGGCAAATGTTAGAACAGAACAAGGGGATATAGAATCAGGCAAGTATGTGCCAGGGTTGCATTCTTTGACCATACTTATTCAATCTGTAAGATGAACAAATAATCCAAGAAACTGGAATGTATGAAGAAGGAAGTGGCACCAGGATTGGAGGAAGACTCATTAACAACTTGACATATGCAGATGATATAACCTTGCTTGCTGGAGACAAAGAGGGCATAAAAAAACTTAATAATGAAGATCAAAGGCCACAGTCTTCAGTTTTACCTCAATGTAAAGAAAACAAAAATCTTCACCACCGGAGCATCATGATAAATGGTGAAAATTCTGAAGCTGTCCAAGATTTCATTTTGCTTGGATCCACTATCAACACTCATGGAAGCAGCAGTCAAGAAATAAAAATACGTGCTGCATTAGGCAAATCTGCTGCAAAGATGATCAGTTTGAGGACTGAAGTGTGCTTAACCCCAAGCCATGGTATTTTCAATAGTCTCATATGCATGTGAAAGGAGCTCTGGCAGGGTAGTGGTTACGAAACTGTCTGCGAACCACAAGGTCAGCAGTTTGAAACTACCAGCTACTCCGCGGGAGAAAGATGAGGCTTTCAGCTCCCGTAAAGATTTACAGGCTTGGAAACCCTGTACAGGGTCGTTATGAGTCAGAACAACTCCACAGGCACATAACCACCACCGTTATGTATGTGAAAGTTGAACAGTGAATAAGGAAGACTAGAAAAATTGATGCATTTGAGTTATGGTGTTAGAATGCTGAAAGTACCATGACCTGCCAGAAGAATAAACAAATCTGTCTTGGAAGAAGTACAGACAGGATAGAATGTTCCTTAAAATGCAGGATGGTAAGACTTCATCTTTCCTACTTTGTACAGGTTATCAAGAGGGATCAGTCCCTAGAGAAGGACATCATGCTTGGTAAAGACCCACAATGAGACGGATCGGCACAGTGGCAGCA